GTGTGTGTGTGTGTGTGTGTGTGTGTGTGTGTGTGAGAGAGAGAGAGAGAGAGAGAGAGAGAGAGAGAGAGAGAGCTCATAGAAGTTCTATTCAAGACTGCAGATCTAATCTAAAGGCAGAGCTCCAGTGTGGAGTCAGATCCACCCAGGAGTCATAGGATGAGGGGTGAACGTGCTAAGTGGAGGGACAGCTTGTGCAAAGGTCCAGTGGCTGCAGAGAATGTGGCACACTCCTGACCAACACATGTAGTCATGCACGTAAGTGGAAAATGAGGTTATAGAAAACAAGTGCCTGTTTTAGAACGGCCCCTGCAAAAGACCCTGAGGTTAGAATTTGCATGCAAGAGTTCTGTGTAGGAAGTAGTCCTAAATAACTGTGTAGGGATGGGGTTGTGGAACCGTGTGGGCAGAGCAAGGAGCTGGTAAAAGGTTATTTATAATATATTTTATTTTTTTAGTGTTTGTTAGAGTGTTTTTTAAAATTTATTTATTTATTTTTCTATTATCAGCTTGATACAGTATAAATTCTTATCTTAATAGTGAAATGTTTCATGGAAGCTTGCTCAGTAATTGAATAAAACCAAAACTTATTACAAGCCACAGTCATCGTAGGGTCTCCCCTGCTCTATAGCCTCCCTGGTTCTGTGGGTTGCAGTCTGATTGTTCTTTACTTTATATCTAGTATCCACTTATGAGTGAGTACATATCATGTTTGTCCTTCTAGGTTTGGGTTACCTCACTCAGGATGGCATTTTCTAGTTCCATCCATTTGCCTGCAAATTTCATGCTGTCATTGTTTTTCTCTGCTGAGTAGTACTCCATTGTGTATATGTACCACATTTTCTTAATCCATTCTTCAGTTGACGGGCATCTAGGTTGTTTTCAGGTTCTGGCTATTACAAATAGTGCTGCTATGAACATAGTTGAGCACGTATCTTTGTGGTATGATTGAGAATTCACAAAAGAAGAATCTCAAATGGCTGAAAGACATTTAAAGAAATGCTCAATATCCTTAATCATCAGAGAAATGCAAATCAAAACAACTCTGAGATACCAGCGTACACCTGTCAGAATGGCTATAATCAAAAACACTAATCAATGTTGGAGAGGATGCAGAGCAAAGGAAACACTCCTCCACTGTTGGTGGGAATGTAAGCTTGTACAACCACTGTGGAAATCAGTATGGCGGTTTCTCAGAAAATTGGGAATCGATCTAACTCAAGACCCAGCCATACCACTCTTGGGCATATACCCAAGGTAAAAGGTTCTTTATTGAATACATGACCACTGGTATGTGTTGTGGGAATTCCTTTCCTGGGGGAGTTTTAAACAACATACATCTTCCTTCTCAAGGTCTTAATCACAAACCAGAGTTCGATTCCCAGCAAACTTCAGCCTGGAGAATCAACTGTGCTTACTTACAGAGCGAGATGTGTGTGTGTGTGTGTGTGTGTGTGTGTGTGTGTGTGTGTGTGTGTGTGTGTGTGTGTGTGTGTGAAGGGCTCCCTCTAGGAAAGTCTTCTCTTAGTGTGGGCGATGGCCTCTCCAAAGCCTTGTAGGTGGACCTCCTCGTAGTTAACCCCCCACAAGCTTATACACCCCAACATTTCCCAAGGTAACACATTTGGGGCAGAATTACATACAAATGGCTAGAAGGAGCCCCTGGAAGCACAGGTGGGCCTTTCTCACCCCCTACTTCTATGAGGGAATTAAAACAGCCAAGGAGCCCCAGCCCAGTGATAAACAGGCATAGTGGGTCTCATGAACATGAGGCTGTTTCCCTCACAGGATAGCACAGCACAATAACTGGCAACTGGTGAACTCTGAGGGCTGAGGAGACACGCACTTCGATTGTCCCACCCCAAGGGTGATGGAGCTGGGATACAGATTCATTCATATTCTCTCTCTCTCTCTCTCTCTCTCTCTCTCTCTCTCTCTCTCTCTCTCCCTCCTTCTCCCTCCCTCTCACTCCCCTCTCTTTCCAGGGTTTCTCTGTGTAGCCCTGTCTGTCCTGGATCTCGCTCTGTAGATCAGGCCAACCTTGAACTCACAGAGATCCGCCTGGCTCTGCCTCCAGAGTGCCTGTTAAAGGTGTGCGCCACCACCGCCCGGCAGGATACAGATTCTCCATCTTCTATTATTGCCCAAGGGCAACACTCTTCCCCCGGCATCCATCCTGCCATGCAGCAGTGGGCTAGCTCTAGCTACCAAAGACAGTCCTTGAAGTAGATGTCAGCTTTTAAATCTGGGCCAGTATGGTAAAGGCAAGCGAGTCAGGCAAGGTACCAGAGCACCTGCCACATACCACAGCCCTTTTTGGCATTTAGAAGTTTCTGAGGTGGGCCAGGAACAGCTTGTGGAGGACTCAGGGGCCGGTGTAAGGGATTTGGGAGTCTATGCTCAGAGGAGCCATTGCTTTAAATTAGTTCTGTTTTTGCCTTTAATTTGTGTGTGTGTGTGTGTGTGTGTGTGTGTGCGCACACATGTTGCCTGTGAAAGCCAGAAACATTGGATGCCCTGGAGCTGGAGTTATAGGCAGTTGTGAGCTGCCCACCATGGTTGCTGGGGGGGGGGGATGAACTTAGTCTTCAGTAAGAGCAGTCCATGCTCTTCACTGCTGAGCCGTCCCTCTGGCCCTCACTGCAGGCCTTCCAGCAGAAGCATGACAAAACCCAACCGGCAACCATAAAAGGCCACATTGGTCACTGGGTGGGGAAATGGGTGAGCCCCACGTGATGGAGCATTTCAGAGGCTCTTCAGGCAGGAGGAGATGGTGGCGGTCGGTCGAGAGCTGGCAGGCTGGGGGTAGAAGGGGGGGGGACGTCGGAGAGACCGTCAGGAGACAAAATGATCTCCATTCCCTGAGAATGATTGCGGGGAAGGTAGATGTGTTTTTCCATAAAGACTTCCTTATGTTAAATTAGAGGCAGGTGTCCCTGAGACTTGGCAAGTGGGGCTGTAATTTTCCAGACTCCCCCACCCCCACCCCCCCTTACTCGATAAAGTTCTGTCATCTGCTGAGGTCTGGCTGCCCACTCTTCACGGTACCTTCCAGGCTGCTGGGGCCAGGAGAAAGTGAATAGCCCCCACCTCGGTTCCTGCCAGCTTCCCTTCTGCCTTGCCCACCCTGCTGTGCCTAGCAAGGGTTGGCTCCAAGTGCCAGCTTCTGAACCAGCATTATTGTCAAGGAATGTAGAAGCAGCCGGGCCAGGGAGCAGCAGGCGGAGCGAACCTTCCATTTGCCATCTGTGGAGCCGGGGAGAGCCGCTCTGACGGCAGC